GGAGAAGACGGAACAGGGAACGAGGAATGAGGAGGAGGGAGAGGTGGAGGAGGGGGAAGAGGTGGAGGAGGGGACGAGGGGTAGAAGGAGGAGGGGGAAGAGGTGGAGGAGGCGGTGGAGGAGGTGGAGGAGGCGGGGGACGAGCGCACACGGGGAGAAAACGGAAAAGGGGACGAGGATTGAGGAGGAGGAAGAGGTGGAGGAGGCGGGGGACGAGGGGCAGAAGGAGGAGGGTCCAGTGCAAACCCAAGACTCAACAATGATGCTGGAATACGCCCTCCCTCCGAGCTCCCTATTCGCAGGCCCCTGCAAGCATCCGTCTCTACTAAGGAAAGTGCCCCGTTGGAAGACAACCGTTTTAAGATCCTGGACCGTGCCAAAACACCTTTCTCGGGACCCCAACGGCACAAATCCGCGAACCCTGAAGGCGTGTGTGAAGGGCTTGTCCGTTCGAGTCGTCGTCTCCGTCATTCGTGCGTCGCCGTCTCTGTCGTCCCCTGTCCCTGCGGCCCCCATTTCCCTGGGCCCGTCGCTGCTCCCCCCATTATCCTGGGCAGTCTTCCTCCTCCTCAAGCGCGCCAGCCAAAGCGAAACTGAGCCACGTCGAAATTCAGTCGAAGGGAAGCCCCTTCCTTTTGATCCCTCCCCCGTCCGGGGGGGCGATGTCCCAGGGGGGGTCCCGTGGGGGTCGCCTACCAGGTACGACTCCACCCTGGGGGGGGGGTCCCCAGGGGGTCCCGAATGGAGGGGGGTCGCCACCCAGATACGACTCCCCCCGCCCCTGGGGGGTGGGTCCCGGGTCCCCAAAAAGCCTCAGGACGGGCAGAAGTAGAGTGCCCGAAGAGGCCCCGAGAGGGCCCCGAATCGCCAAACGATCTGTCCAAGACGCCTTGACGGCCTCCAAACGGCCCATGAGGCCTGCAAGACGCCCCCATGAGGCCTTCAGGAGCACTCCCAAGGCTGCCCCAAGAGGCACAGTCCATCAAATTCCCTTCTGCTTCTAGAAGGATTTGGGCGTTCTCGCCTCGCCCGCCGCCGTCGCTCCCCGTCGCTCGCCAACGCCGTCGCTCGCCGCCGTCGCTCTCCGTCGCTCGCCGCCGCCGTCGCCGCGGGAGGGGGGCGAGCGGCGGCGGCACCAGGGCGGCACGCGGCGAGCTTCCGCCGCCGCCCCCCGCCAGACGAGGGGGCGCGGTGTCCAAACCCCCTCGCGTCGTGAACAAAAACATGACGGACGATGTTGCACGTTGCCGCCCGTATCGCCTCGTGGGCGCCCCCCGCTTGGGAGGTCTACTCAGGTTGCACCACGTTGCCGCCCGTGCCGCCTATTTGGCGCCTCGTGGGCGCCTCGTACGTTGGATGGGTTCCTCCTCCTCCTCCTCCTCCACCTCCTCCTCCTCCGCCTCCTCATCCTCCTCCACCTCCTCCTCCTTCTCCTCCTCCTTCTCCTCCTCCTCTTCCTCCTTCTCCTCCTTCTCCTCCTCCTCCTCCTCCTCCTCCTCCTCCTCCTCCTCCTCCCCCCCTGGCGAGGGCCCCGGGGCAGTCCAAAAAACACTCGGGACGACAAGCCGCTCCCGGGGAGGTGGTCCAGACCTCTTGGGGTCGCCGCTATGAAACAACTGGAAAACATGGCGCGCCCTTGGATCACCGCTGGGGGTGCTAAGGGGAGCGGATGTCTGGCCTCGTCCAGCTTATCAGTGGGCACGCCCCGAGCAGGTTACGGTTGGCAAAGGTATGGGCTAAGTGGACGGAGGAGGAGGAGGAGGGGGAGGAGGAGGGGGAGGAGGAGGAGGAGGAGAAGGAGGAGTGGCACTTAGAAGAGTTCCCTAACCACTTCAAGCCACCTGGGGGCACACGTGCGCCATTCATCCGCCGCCGTGCCCCGGTGGCACAACGTGGAGTGGCCTCGGGTCCCTTCTCGGTCCTGGGCCTGATCCCTTCAGCCTCAGTCTTCAGTCCTGATGATTATTTTCGGCACCCCGACACTACTGGTCGTGAGGAGAAGGAGGAGGAGCGGGGGAGGACGGGGAGGACGCGGAGGAGGAGACAGAGGGAGGAGGAGGAGGAGGAGGAAGAAGAGGAGGAGGAGGAGGCGGAAGAAGAAGAGGAAGAGATGAAGTAGGATGAAAAATCAAAGGCACGTAGGCGAGACGAAACAGGAAAAGGGGCAAAGGAGGGCGACCTCCCCGTCCATGCAGAACCACCGGCCCACCTCGTTCAGCACCTGCCGCATCACCACGTCGTACGCCACGTCGGCCAGTGCCGCGGCCTTTTGTGGGAGACAGCACGACGCACACAACAGAGAAGGAAGGAGGAGGAGGGGGAGGAGGAGGAGGAGGAGGAGGAGGAGGATGAGGAGGAGGAGGAGGACGTGTTCAATCTCTGCGACTGCATGCTCCCAATCCAGAGGACCACGGTGAGGGGAGGAACCGAACGTTCCTCTCTTCCGTTTGTTATGCTGGGGAGGTCTGCCTTTACAAAATCAAAATAAAAGGAAGGGGGC